AAAGCCCAGTTTGTTCCGGTTTGAAATTATCATACATATTGCAGTGTGCATTATTCTATTATTCTCAATTGTATTAACTTTTAGCACAAACTCAAGAGTATATTTGGGTCCCTGCACACAGTGAACTTGACGTTACTTTACACACTCAGAATTAAATAAAATTCCGCAATAAAATTCCATACATACAACGGAAACGATACATAAGTTTTGAACCCATTCGTGTACCACAAACTTAAACGAAAAATGTGACATAATCATTGAATAGAACGGAAAAAAATAAACGTTACAATAACCACCAAATAAGATCCTGAAATTCGGTGTCCATTTGATAAAGTCTCTCTCTCAGGTCCTAGACATAATAAATTAAAACATTGTACAGTAACTTGCAATGCTCAACCTAAACTACGTTCACAGCACGCAAACCTTCAACTACAGGGTGGCTCGCTCTCATCGTCGGCATTATTTCAACCTAGATAACGAGACCCTCCTGCAGTTTACAGAACTTCACTTGCAACTAGCAGTCAAGTTGACCAGGCGATATAAAATATCCGATTGTATTGCACAAGGCGCTCCATCATCCAATTTTCTGAATTTAGGCTACCTTTAAGTAGGGGAGAAACAAATGTCAATCGATCGTTTTGATCAGTTTAGAATTCGTGAAGAGGTAGACCGACGGGAGTTTATTCCGTAGACAAATTTGTATGATTTTATGAATGATAAGTGAACCCCAACCAAAAGACCTTGTTGATTTTTTTTTTTTTGTGGAATAGAATTTTAAGTTTATTGATACCATTCTTTTGTATGGGTTAAAATTTTTGCAGCATCCAAAGAGGCGTGTAAAATTGTTTTTTTAATAGGAAAATGCACCGGGTGTTGGAGTAATTACAAATAGTAAAAGAAATCTAGATTTGGACGTGATCACGAGAGACTTGTAAATTTAATGAATTTAGGTACATTATTGTTTTAAATTACAAAAAATGTAACGAATTGTGAAGTTTAGTGGATTTGTACCAATATATGCAAACAAGTCAATTTACATGAGCATTTATTTGAGAGCGATCGAACCACAGCATCAGGTTTTAATTTTCAGATTAAAAATGCAACATTGGAAATGATAACCGTATAGCGCCACATCCCATATGTAAATCAAAAATAACCTTTATTCACTCGGAACACTTGCTCCACTCGCAAACGTAACTCTTCTGCATAATAAGCGTCGTAACATGCTCGTAATACTTTTAAAGGAGATGTGCGAGAATTTTAGATTGCAATTAACAAAACAATTGAGCATTATTAAGTAAGTACCCCATCGACAGTACCGGCAACTTTTCCTTAATCTACCGATCGCGGCCGAGTACGGTACAATCCTCACTTGATGCGACACCATTGTCTTTTTTGCCAAAACGACATCCGTATACGAAACCAATGAAACCATAAACATTTCCAATGTTAAAAGTGGAAATAGATAGCCAACCGCAAGTTAAGAATCATTAGAAATTAATTCATTACTGAACTAGCCGTGGTATTAATTATTTCATTACAAGAAATTTATTCAGTAAAAATTTTACCAGTGCCGTAGAGATTAAAATTTATTTTCTACGAGTGGGGTTTCCAACCGCTATAAATGTAACTGCTAATACGTTACACGAGACATATGTGCTTCATGATAATATTTCAAATTGTGCGTTTCAATATAGCGAGTGGAGGCGAATCGTTATAACAGGGGGTTGTATAATGTATAGTACTTTGTCAATGCCAATCTTCAACTATAGGTACCTGTGTTTGTATGTAAATTTTCCTGGCATCTCAATAAAGTTTAGTTGTTATTAACTAGTGTGGAAAAGAGTTTCACGATAATTATGTGATATGCTTTGTATTGATTGGTTTTTTCGCTTGAAGCAATATTTCAATATGCGCTATATTTCATAGATATACATTGTATTCCAACTTGTAACGTAATGCAAATACAGTAGACAGACAACCCATCTCAACTTACGAGAATAATCTATAAAGACAACAAACACGATCACTACTACTTGCGCTTACGTACCTACCTAATCGATTGAATGTACAAAATCTCATGTTCAGCTAACAATACCTCTCATGACAATAAATTAGAAACTTGCAATTTACTTTGTTACATATTTCAAAAGCTTGATCCCTCGTTGAATGTTGTAGTTGACAGAATAAGGTCGTTACGTTGTGTACAATGTAATAATAAAGTTTACCCAGAAATATGTCACGAAGGAGGAGAATGAGGAGAATTAATCGAGAGTTCATCATACAATAAAGGAGAAATAAGAAAAGCGATGTACTTATCTGTCATGCAAATTTTTGCTTGATTAATATTTTATTGTTCGTGCACTCTTTGTATTACGTTGGAGATGTTTATTATTAGCTGGATAAATGTATCGTAGGCCTCAAAGTATATTATGTAAAATTAAAATTAGAGATGAAAACACGGAAACGCACTTTTACATTGAAGCATATATATTTTTTTAATATCTGGATTACCTTTCCAAAGATCTCTTAGAGACCATATTTCCTGGCATTCCACTGGCGTGTAGCGTGTTATTTCCTTAGAAGCTTAGAACATGTTGTGGTTCATACTAGCTAGGCGCATTTGAAATTCTTACTGGTCTTGTGCATTATGTGTTTTAAATTCGAATTTGGACTAGTTAACAAAATCACACCGGTCACATTTTAAATCCTGGCAGGATCTATGTTTTGACAAATGTTAGCTGTTAAGATCTACTTTAAGAGTAGATTTATATTTGGTAACACTGGACACACTTTAAATCCTTGGTGATCTTGTATGTTAATAAATGTGTTTTATAATTAGATTTATCATCCGTTTCATAGTCACACTGGACACATTTTAAATTGTTGGTAGTTTTGTGTTACAATGCTATTGGGCATGAGGGTATAACGCTACCAATTTTCCACGGTTACTGATTCCTTAGAAGGGTGGCCGTGGAAAGTAGGGCAAGGTGAAGTTTCAAGGTCAAGGTGAATTATACTAAACCGTTTAACAATAATTGTACTTTGTAGTAGATCGAAAAAGTATAAGTACCTAGCACGATTTCAATACCAAAACAAAGAGGGTTTTCGCCCTTAATTCCTATATTCGCGGGGTTATCACCGATTGGAGCATTATCAGGTGGAGCATCGGGAATTGCGAAAGCGATTGATGATGCTAATGATGTTCAGAAATTACAAAAAGATCAAACGTACCATTCTTTCAAAGTGTGTTCATGCGCGATAACTTGCCCAAAACAGCATGGAAAAATGAAAGTGAAGTTATACGATAGTTTTGGTAGGTAGTATTCGAGCACATATTGAACTAGTTAACTACTTCCGGGGATGCAAAATCTATTATAATTATAATCAGAAACAAGGGCGGATTAATTTTTCTATCCTTCTCCGTCTATTCGTTAATGAGAGGTTCAATCACAAACACATGTACAGCTGAATTTTATGTACAGGGTGTTCGTACATATGATGGAAATATGGAAGGGGAAAATATCTTGGCTTATTTTCAGACTAAAAGTTCATGTAAACAAGGTCCACAAACGCTTAGTGACAGATTTACAGGGTGTCAAAGTTTTTAGCGCATTTTCCAACTCATCTCAAATTTGAAACATAAGTTACGCTGAAGGGTTTATATCGTTGGTGATGTCAATGGTGGTGAGAATCTACAGGGTGTTGTTTTTTGGTATCTTGTAATTTTTTCGTATCTGTGACCCTTATCGAGAAAAAAAATAAAAATCAATTTTTCGTAGGTAACCAAATGAAAGTACGAGCATTGATTATATACTCGTAGTATATAATCAATGGTACGAGTATAATTTTTAAAATGGTCCAGTTGGTCATGGATTTATTTGGATAATATCTTGTGTTTATTAGTTTTCACAGTTGACAATGGAAATGCATATGTTTATAAATTAAAGGTTTAAATTGTAAAGTGTACGGTAGACCTATTTAGCACTCTGTAGATCGGTAACGAAGCCTTTGCGGACCTATGCTTATATGAACTTTTAGTCATTTAATTAGCCCCTGCCGTATTCACATCATATTTAGGAACACTTTGTATAAAAATGTACAATTGGGTTTTCCGCGTTTTTTCAAACGCACGATAATTACTAACCTAAATGTAATGCTATTTGGTATGGTTGGAAAGCATTTTTTCAGAGCTTTCCAACGACGTATCACACATGGGGGGTCACTATTTAAGATTTAAAAGTTGGGGTGGCTGGGTGGGAGGGGGTGCGTCGCCAACTATGTCATTGTGATTCCCCCTCCGAATTACCGAAACGGATTTTGATTTTTTTAAATATCTCGTTTATTTAATAAGATATGGGGGGTGGTAAGTTTTCAAATTGTCACCCTGTATTAATTCTAGGCAACATTTTCGTTCGATTGACATGGCATTGTCATATACCTACAATTGATCGTTTTTCTTAATATAGTCTTTTTTCTAGGTTCAAATCATGATTGCTATGATTAAAAAAATCATGATTGCCATGGAAACTTCAATTAATAATATCTGTCAAGTGTAAAACCACGTGTTAGTGTTCCTTTGCGTTTCCATAGCAATGGGGTTTATGATGTTCAGGGCAATCTTGATTTGTATTAACAATTACTTTATTAAGAAAAGCGTAATATCTCCAAGGTCAAAGATGGCCATAGATATTGTGTGGTAAATTGACCTTAATTTTCAAAAAGGAATCTTAATGTGGAATAATAAATGGGAGTTGCCATTTAAAATATGGAAGTGGGCATCTACTTCTGGAAGTGTTAGAAAACTTCCACTATTTTAAAAAGAGTAGTTCATGGTCGAAAACATTATTGTTTAAATTTTTATAATCTTTTCTACTTTCTCTTAGAAGGGTAATTTTCCTTGTAAAAGAAAGACCCTGTATATGTATTACTTCAAAATAACCAGTAATATTCATAGAAATCACACAAATATTGTAACTGCTAGAGATTTTAAAACCTACCTCGAGATATTCATCCAACTGCATCCTCTTCCCGTGCCAATACAGCAATTCATCCACATAACCCAAAAGAAGTATAGCAGCAACTATTCCAGCGATCACCATTCCGATTACCAACAGTGAAAGTATGATCGACCACCAATTGTGACCTTCATAGCTATGGTACGCTAGCTCCTAATAAATAATAAATAATAAGTTAATTCAATTCCATAACACTCAAATTATGCCTAAATTGCTAAACTGCATGCCTAACGCATTAATTTAATTAAAATGCCTTCCTATATCGCAACCGAGATTGAAAATATCGGTTTTTAGATGTTCGAGTAAAGGTCATATCATATTGCAGATACCAATTTGATTAACGTTAATATTAAAATCAATACACGATGCAGAGATCTAATCTAATTGAAAAATGTGCATTTTGACCGCATCATCTCGAAACGTAATGAAAATCACAAATTGCACTCTGCATTATCTAAAATGTTAGTTCCTTACGTTTCGACAGATTGCGAATGGTAAAGTGAAGTGCTTACTAATTGCCGCAGCTTAAAGTTGAGGGTGCAATCTTATCTAGATCTAATTAAAAGTTAACTTTAACTACGATATCAATTGGTGTGGAAATTTGAAATCGTGCTAATATCCCTTGCGAGTTCAGTCAATAATCAAATCGTTTTCTTAATCCCAGAGCGCAATTCTACCGTTGAACTTTTCGAACAGAATTATTTATTTAGAAGTGAAATTAAATGTTTTTACTCTCGGAAGTTGGCAGGAACTGTTATACGACAGTTCTTCTGCAGAAGAAATGTAATAAATAAATGGAATGCTGGTAATCGATAAAGCAACGTAAACAAAGAAGCGCCAAATCTAACCCTTGAAGAGTGGAAAACGTTTATTTCTACATCCAAGTATTCCAGTAACATCCGCAATAAGGATTTATTTCATTCTCTTGTGTAAAGTTGATGTGCACTACCAAACAATAAATTAATTACGTAATGTAACGAATGATTTATTTCTTTCTTTTAAGCTTCAAAGTCGAACAGCAATTGTAATTTTATTGAAATTGTTAATTACGGTTTTTGTAGCTAGTGAAAAAATGCAGAAGGTAAATTTACAATACCTCTAGTCAATATTATTTGAAAACGTTGTCTATGTCCAAAGATTCCTGCGTGATGAATGCATTACTCTAGGCAAGGTCAATGTTTTTGGTAATTGTAGCTCCTTTAGTACAAAAAATATTATGAAATTAAATCGGCTTCCCTTCATCCATATTCGTCAGATCAAAGATTTAGGTTGATATGTTCGTACTCGCGATGCTAATAAGTTTATAAACAAATACGCGATGTTTCATCAAATAAATATGCAACAGGCGCGTATTTAGCGTACTTTAATAAATGTAATTCTTACTTCAAAACACATTTGTTTTACGTTCGCGATTAAAATGTTTCCATTTCATCGAAAGAAAAAAACTACACGTTTCACAATTAATTGGCCCGGACTTTACACCCTGACTGTAGTCACTCGACCGATAATTGTTCTCTTTTTTTATACTAATTCTGCTTTTACAACTATTAAAATCGTGCGGGCGAGTACACTTTCACATACGCTACGCATCTCTCTGTACGCTTCGCTATTTATATTAAAACCAGAATGGAACCAACAAAATTGCCCCGATCGGCGTCCCTCTTAAACCAATAGTAGATCAGCATCTGTTTATACTGCAATTCTGTCTCGTTTGAAACGGAACCACCGCATCAGTGAGGTTTGCTGCCGCCCTGGTGACGACCCAAGCGTTCTAGATGTGTACGTTTATCGTTAATAACTTGACCCGCGCCTGCCTATCATCAAATTCAGCAAATCCAGTTCGTGCTATCAAGATTAAGTTTTTTAAACCAAAAAATTGCAGTTAACGACCCGATTATTGGATTATTAAAAACTGTAAGTAATTAAGATTTCTTTACTTAATTGTCTATCGATCGCTTGCATGCGTGGTAACTGTAAAAAGGTCCCGAGAGCGCCTCTTTCTTTTAGCTTTGTCAGTTTGTGTGTATCCGAAATGAATGTGATTCTATTTGTCAATGAACACTTTTGTGTTTAATAGATTAAATTTTACGACCCAGGAATAGAGTTCTCATGTCAAACTTCATGTTCGTGCTCACAGTTATGTTAGGTGTTATTCAAAATTTGTTTAATTCCTTGGAGTTGTTGAATATGATCAAGGCTGCTGAGATTCCTAAATTAATAGAAGTCTTTCTCGGGATCATTTTTTATTGTCGGACGTGTCTCGATAAGTTTATTTAATTGAGTTAGCTGGACAGGTGTTTTGTAGGTGCCTGAATGACCGTTTCTCATTCTACAGCAATATATTTTACAGATGTTGGAATATTAGTGTGTTAGTTGTTCTACAAATACGAATAAAAATTATGCTTATTCTACGTTTTAAAATTAGGTACTATATTGCTGTGTGCAATTTCCAGCTAGTTTAAGACAAAACAACCTTTTAAATTTAGAATTTGTTTCCTGGTAGACGCCCGGCTCCCGTCTCATTGAAAAAGTTCAATGTTGTTTGGGCATATTACCCCGCACGCAGGCGGTCGACAAATAAAATAATCAATCTTAAATTACTTGCAGTTTTTTCTTCAAATAAATAATCTGCTCCTACAAGGTTTGCGATATTCAGGCGCACTTAACTCACACATAAACGCTGGCAGGATCTTTAAACTTCACTTCTTTATCGCCCTGAAATTACAAACAAAACTGGCTTGATGAATACGATGACAAATTTTAGGTAGCTGTTCGGACGGTAGCAAACTTTTAATCAGAAGAAAAACTTAACAAAAGGTCTCGCCGTGCACTACAACTGCGTTTTCAACAAAACAAATAGGGCTGACTGCCGTAAAAAATCGCGTAAACAAATGGATACGCTCTTCAACCGTCGCGAAACCAGCAGTAGCCTCATTTCGACTCCAGCATTTAAAGTGTGGACTCCACATGCAAATATTCACGACTCTACCACGCTGCGAAAAGTATTAGGGATAAGAAACCAGCGCTGCAAGCAGAGACGCTGGTTGTACGTTTTCCGCGATACGCAACAGTTTACTCCGTTACTCGACACCCGTGGTTGGAATAGCGTTCTGTGTGCTAATACACGATGTTACTTTATATTAATCGAGAGTGTTAGTAGTTCCATTAATCCTGAGTATCCACTAAAAAAGGAACAACATGAAATAATTACCTTCTCAATCATTTTCAAATTAATTAATTAAATTTCTCCTGATACTAAAACTCTTTATTTCAAACGACAAAATGTAACATTTTCGACCACATGTGTCTACTTCTAGCACCTTATCTAAATGAATAATTTACAAAAGCGATAAAGCGAACAATTCTGCATCTAACAAATTTCTAATAGGAAAAACCAACACTAAGACATAAATTCAATTAAAATAACCTTTGTGTTTATTCGTAAACCCCCAGATTCACGTAAAAAATTGAAATATTCGCCTATATAAAGTGCCCCATCATTATTTTTTGTGTGTAGACCGAAATAACGTCTACATGACGCTTCTTACACAACAATACATGTCATATTCTCATAAGACTGAAATAACAAACTGTTGAGAACGTGTAGAAATAAACAAACGTGACTGCCCCCCCCCCCAACTTAAAACGCGATGAGATCAGTGATCACACGTTCACCCTCCGGTTCCGGTACCGTCCCTGACAAAAATTGAGTATTCCCTTGAAAATAAAATATAACATGACAAAAGAGGGGTCATTGACCTGGAAAATGAAATATGACACCACAAAGATTGGGAACATTGACCTTTGATGATCTTAAAAATGAAATATGACACCGCAAAAAATAAGGTCATTGCACTTTAAAATGGAATATGACACGGCGACCAACTTTTGGACTTTGAGCGGCGGGCAAACTTTGGACTTTGAACGTCGACCAACCTTTGAACCTTGAACGGTCACCAACTTTTGGACTTTGAATAAACTTTGAATTTCCTCGCCAGGAAGAGAGTTAGATAACTTTGAGGGCACCCAAATTTAGCCTTATACATGGATGATTTTGAATATGGCTATCGCTTGCTTTGGTCATGAATGCTTAGCATACGTTTGTACAATAGCTCCTAGAAATGCGCTTCAGTGTAAAATTAGCATTAAGTACTGAAAAATGAGACTGAACTCGCTTAGGTCCACGTGTCGTGCATAAAAGTGTTCTATTGACAACGTAATCGTAAATGTTTCAATTATCATGTTTTCCAGTTCCATTTCTCATTTGCCAAAACATCATAATTGTAGCGCTTGCTATTAAATTGTCATTACTATCGTGTGATCAATTGCAAAACTAGTCGCTTAACCTATGTAACCATCCTTAAAGAAATGCAAGAGTCCGAACTATAAATACAATATTCTGATTAAAAATACTAAATCTAAGTCAGTACTCATTCCTCAAAAATACCTACCACTATATCTCATTCCATTGATGCACTATATAGATTCCTTGAATCCTTCTTATGCATAGAAAAGGGTAGTAAGGAAAACATGCAGTTCTACGGAGGTCAAAACTTTCTATATATAAGAAAATTCAAAGTTTGTCCAGAACAAATGAGTGCAGTGGTATACGTTACCTCTTGAGTACTGACCTCTTCGCTACCTACCTCGGCTTTTTTAGCTTTTGGATCAGCCACCTGGAGAGTTTCATCGGGCGGTACGCGCCAGGCTGTACGATCCGTGTGCACATTAGTGTGCATTACGCTATCCGCCCCTTACTCTTACCTGGAACAAGAAAAAATTGAACAATCAATTGAGTATTAACAACAGTTTTAAATCAGACTATCTCTTACATTCTGTAATGGAACCGAATTTTCCCGCTAAAAATTTGATTTCTAATATTCGCAGTTTGTATTTTCTAAAAGGAAATAAAGTGGCGATCCGAATGTATTTTTTTTTGAGAAGCCGCCCCTGGCCGTCAGGAAAGAATTCAAAGATTTTGTTTTGTTTCGTCTCCGTGGACCACGTGTTTTTCCCTCTGCCCTACATCAAAATGGGCCATAATTTACAATAAACGTCCCAAACCTAACGCTATACGAGGGAAGTTAATGATCCATATCGACCCGACGATTCGGAGCGCGTCGATATTAAATGTTTCGACCTCGATTTTGACC